ATGCGAAAAGGCGAGAAGCTGTGCTCTGGATGTGTTGTTTTTGTAAATAAACGTGCATAAAACTACCGGAGAGTCATTACTTCTTATTGGGGCTTGCTTGTCTGCCTGAGATCATTACAGCTACAGTATGATAGAATTGACAGTTCTAGGTACACTGGAAATAGCAATCCTTGGAAACTAGTTTCTCACCGACTTTCTCTCAGCAGTATTCTACCCACTGCAGTATTAAAAGACCCTTTTTACTGATCTGCTAAAAGAACAGACTTTTTCTCATGAGAGGACAAGTAATTAATTCAGATGGGAATTAGTGCAACAATAAATGAAGCAATGGGAAGTTAGCTGAGGATAAGAACAGTATCAGGACAACAGAAGTCCATAACATCATATTTGGTTGAATGAGGTGACATCAGAGATGTGCATGGGAAAGGAAGACAGTTGGCGTTGCTTGCTCACTCCCTTTTAGTGGAGGAATAAAAATACATCAGTAGACCTGTTTAAGGTAAAGGTTTTCCTATTTCAGTGAATGTTTTATATAATGACCCAGAGCAGAGAAGAAAGGCATGTCTTGCCTGGATAATGGAGCTTCAGATCTTCAAATCGTAAGGTGCATCAGATATTCAAATAGCTGAGGTCCACCTCTAAGGGTCTTCTGGTGATTCCTTCACTATGGGAAGTGAAGTTACAGGGAACCAGGCAGAGGGTCTTCTCAGCAGTGATGCCCTCCCTGTGGAATGCCCTCCTATCAGATGTCAAGGAGATACAGAACTACACAACTTTTAGGAGACATTTGAAGGCAGCCCTGCATTGGGAGTTTTTTAATATTTGATATTGTATTGTGTTTTTGTGTTTTGCTGGAAGCCACCCAGAGTGGCTGTGGAAACCCAGCCAGATAGGTGGGGTATAAATAAATTATTGGTAGTGCTAGTATTAGTATTTTAATATTATTATGGTTGGATCCAGAAATGTTTCCCCAGACTGATTAAGCTTCTCAGGATTCAACCCATGTTAAAGGGGGCTACCAAGATGGAGGCATCTTATGCATGATGTATAGCTTTAATACAGATGGTATAGTATATAGGAAGGAAAGAGTGAAAGCCAGGCAATAACATCAGCTGCAGAGGCCCATAAACCTCTGGGCAGTGGGAATAACGTGTATAGGAGAAAAAGGCTGAGAGAGACCAGCCATTAGTTCCTAAACATATTTAATTTAATTTATGGCATCTTCCACAGACATAAAGGGTTTCATTTGTTTTTGTTTGTTTATTTATGGGAGAGGAAGAATACAAATGTCAGCCTATCAATTCTTTTCTGATCTACAGCATGCATGAGACTGCACAACTAAAGGCTTTTTCAGAGACCTGGCAGAGTGCAGTAGATATTTGTCTGTCCGCGTTCACCATGATGTCAATCATTTCTATGTCTGCTGTAAGTAAACATTGCAGGAATGCTGCAGAAACAGTGGCTTGGGTGAAATATATTCAGAGCACAATCACACTTACTCTAATGAGTCCATCAAATATTAATTATATGAAATTCTTAGACCATCAACAACACTGTGATGATGTGGAGCAATACATCTAAACTATCTGAAAATGATAGTTCATAACTTCTCTCTGTATTTGAAATGAATGAAATGGGGGCAAAGAATTGATTGGATCCTGACTTGGTTCAACTAAGGTCCTACTGAAATCATTGGAACAACTTAGACAAGGCTTACCTTTAGTCCCATTTATTTCAGTGGCAACTAAGTGCAACTACTTTAAGCATATAGGTTTGTAATTATTTTTGAATTCTCTTTGCACTTACTGTTTCCCTAGGTAATATTATGAGAGATATGGAAATGAAAAACCGAACAGAGGTTGCAGAATTTATTCTTCTTGGATTTGGAGATCTCCGGGATCTGCAGATTCCCCTCTTCCTGTTCTTCCTTTTCATCTACATTGTGACCATGGCTGGAAACATTCTCATCATTGTACTGGTTGTAGCTGATCGACATCTTCACACCCCCATGTATTTCTTCTTAGGGAACTTGTCATGCCTAGAGGTTTGCTATAGTTCAACCATCCTGCCCAGGATGCTGGCCAGTTTCCTTTCTGGCAATAAAATCATTCCTTTTAAGGGTTGCATCATACAATATTTCTTCTTTGGCGGCTTGGCTGGCACTGAATGCTATCTTCTCTCTGCAATGTCTTATGACCGTTACTTAGCAATATGCAAACCCTTGCAATATGCAGCACTTATGAATAGCACGGTCTGTCGACATCTGGCTTGTGGATCTTGGTTCAATGGCTTTCTTGCCAGTGCCATAGTAACATTGTTTATGTCACAATTAACTTTCTGTGGCCCCAATATACTCAACCATTTCTTCTGTGACTCTTATACAATTCTAAAACTCTCCTGCAGTAATGCACAACTTATTTTTACACTAATATTCCTTCTGTGTTCTGCATTCACTCTTCCTCCTTTTCTTCTAACATTGACTTCTTATATCTGCATCATTTCTAAAATTGTGAGAATTTCATCTGTTGCAGGAAGACAAAAGACCTTCTCGACATGTTCTTCTCACCTCACTGTTGTGACCATTTTTTATGGGACACTCATAATTGTGTACATGTTGCCAGAAACCAATGAACTGGTAGACTTGAACAAAGTCTTTTCTATGGGTTACACTATTCTTACACCTTTGGTGAACCCTCTCATCTACAGTCTGAGGAACCGAGAGGTCAAGGAATCAATGAGAAGGGTTCTTCATAAATGTTGGGTACAGCATGGGTTGAATAGAAACTGATTAAAAAACAAACAAACATTGGGTATTCTGTCCATTCTTTTTGAAATGTTTTGTATGGATATGTTTAAGATAAATTTATGGTTCAAAATTAACTACCACCAGGAGTTCAGCTAGTGGTCTTTGGGAAACTAAATATTAGCACTTGTGACTCCCCTCCCCACTTTAAGATTTGAAACTGGGTTTTGGAACTCTTTTCAAAGAGGGACGAGAAAATAGTTTTGTTAATTCCAACTTATGATTCCAGGTAGGGCTTCCCCACCCTCCCAGCCAGAACTCACTGGGACTCAGTTCCAGCACCTCTCATGTGGGCACCATTGTCATTCTAAGAGAACAAAGGAGGTGTTCATGGTGAGTTCCGGCACCTCTTTTTCTAGAAAAATAGCACTGATTCCAGAAATATGAGGTGATTTGATCATCTCTCCCTGTTAGCCCCCAAATCCCCCTTGCCTTCAGTTGTCATAACAGACAGAATTTCTGATTGTGAGGAGACTTCTAAGAAACTGGTGCAAGGCAGGCAGGTGTAAATTAAGTCAGCATAAAGTTACAGATCCAAACCCAATAGGGCTGTTGCTGCTGCTCTGCTTGACAGAGGAAAAACTATTATTTAAGATTGTTTGCCAGGTAATGTGAATGAGCCAAATGGGCCTAAGATCCAGCCCAAATCCCCACTCTCTGGTCTCTCCCCCACCCCCACCCTTTGGGGGATTTACACCAGCATTGGCTCAGCCAGCTAAGTCCGAATGAGCAAGCAGAGTACCTGTGGCTGAGCCAGGGTTGGGAACTTAACCCTAGTTGAACCCCACTGAACCAGGAATCAGCTGGCTGATCCAGAGATCTGCTATCTCCTCAGCTGCTCATCCTGGCAGACCTCACCATAGAAACTCACTTCACTTAAGTGTTTATATGGCTTTTGAAGGCGAAGCTGTTTAAAAATGAAAAATGAGAAGGAACTGTCAATTTAGCAAGAACTCTGTAGTACTACTCACTGTGGAAGCCATGGGTGATGATTTTGCTGCCATCCTGTGGTCAATCATGAGATAGTTGCCTATTGAATTGTACCAAAAATCAGGGTTCCTTTGCATTGTTTTCGCATCAGCTCAGCAACAGATTGTGTGGATTAGAAACTTTATTTGCATTAACCACTAGCCATTGCAATCAGATAAAATATACTGGGGATAGAGCTAAATAGTTAGCTATAAAAAATACATTCTTGAGGTTTACATCAATACAAATGGCAGAACTGATACATGATCCTTTAGCCACAGGTTGTACATACCACTGCTGGTGGGAGAAACAAGACAGCAATAGATATTTGCTTATTGAAAGTTGGAGTTTTAAAATTCAAATTGAAAAATTCTGTATTTTGGTATAATCAAACTTCTGTATAAGCTCTGTGGAAGCAAACATGAATATTCAAGAAATAGGTCATTTGGAGATTCCAGTTAGGAGACCAACGAAGTGGATTTGGATCAGACTTTAAACCAAAACAGACTTTGACTAGTCTCATCACGAGCACACACAAAATTGCAATGAACAAGAATTCTTCATTCCTTCTGTTTATTATGGATATGGTACACAATTTTTGTTCGCCTGGTGCAATATGAAGAAATTAATCAGCAAATTCTTATTAGTACTTAAAACAGAAAAATATACTTAACAGAACAATACTTCATCAAGATAATATCTACTTTCCTTCCCATGACAACTGAGTGAAAAGTATTAAATTACATAAAGCAAAATATTACTTTTTAATTTTAAAGTCCATTTTTAAAACCTACTCTCTGTATGCTTTTAAAAACATCAGAAAAGTTTTTGTATGTTATAAATGTCTTTTTGTAATTCATGTTCCCTGTATCCTTGATGACCTGTTGTCATCAATTCTGCTGCAAAACTTTTATTTTTAATAATATGTTTTCTACAAAGAAAAGGTTAGGATTAAGAAAAGTGGAAAAAAAGAATACTCTTTATAATACAAAGAAGAATGTGTTTTTAAATGTGAAGCAACTGAGAAGGAAAAGGCAACATGTATGACAAAACACAATAGCCATGGGGGGGGGGGGCAAACATTTCTTTAGAAAATGTTGTTTCCTAGTGGAGACATTAGAAGCATGCTGCAAAGAATCATGTGGTGCTGAGTAGCTCCCACTTAGAAAAGAGGCGGAAGGAAAATGTTGACCAGAACCTCCAAACTCAAAATTGGAATGAAAAGCTGTTAAGGAGCCTGCATGCTTTTCATCGCCTGCAGGATTCTTCCTCTGTTATTCCTCACGTTTGCTTTTGCTGCTTCTAGGAGGTTTTTGACCTCCTGCTCCTTGTAAGAAACTTTGAGGGTGGAATATTGTTCTCTCCATTCAGCTACTTTATCTTTAAAATAAAAAGGATGTACATAAGCAAGTGCCTTGCTATTCACTTGGAAACACTTAGTATAACACTTAACCACACATGTTCTTCAAAGCACCTATTACATAAACAGATGGGGCAGGAACATGTCCAGCTTATATTATATAAAGCTGAGCTATTGACTGTGGAGCTAGTGAGAACTCCAACGTTAATCCCAGCTATCTTAAAAACAAAACAAAAAAACTTGTAAAACTTCAGTAGAACTTGAACATGGAATCTGCCCCCCTCAATTTTATAGGAACATAAGATTCCTGCTGCATCACGCCAAAAGGCCTATCTAGTCCAGCATCTTCCTCCCAGGGCGACCAATTATAACAATTATTGGGTGAGCCAATTTCACAAGGTAGCAATTTGGCCAGAGTTGCTAGATTTATCTTCCAGGGATCAATCAGATCCAAGGAGATCATTAGTCCACAGTAAACAATGAAATTTGTTTTTAATTTTCTGTAATGATCTTTCTAATGCGTAACCTGCCCTGGGACCTTAGAGTGAAGGTCGGACAATAAATGAATTATCAAAAACAATAATAAATGCATGCCCCTTTCTAAGCAATCCCCAAACATAATATACCTTTGCAGTTCACTGTATTGAAGAGCGGGAAATGCATGACTGTTGGAGAATCATGTCCTTGGAAAACGTAGCAGTCATAGGGACTGTCTTTACTCTTGTCCAACTCTGAGACATCAATATCAGGAAAAGGAAGATGATTTTCCTTGCAGTACAGGACTGCTTCTTTGACAGTCTATGATGAGAAGAAAATGCAGGAAAGGAATGTGGAAATTGTTGTCTGAGCAGGACACCCCACTGGCGGTTGCCCAGAAGAAAAATTGTTAGGTGTGTAAAATTTCAATACATGGTGCTGCCCCAATACTTCTGTCACTGGGCTCCATTGAAAATGGCTTTTCCATGTGAACCAGTAAGTGACCTCTCCAAACAATGGAACGACTCTTCTTATCTCTGCAGCTGCAATCTCGTGGGTGATGTGCATGCCAGTAGGCAGTTGGATGCATATGTGTGCTCCATCTATTTCCCTCCCACAACCTCAGATGCTGACAATCCATGCTACACCACTGGGGCACCATGGATGATTTGGCTCTGCAGAGAGATGTCACCTCTACACAGAAAAAACTTCTGATCTTTCCACTTAAAAAGAAGTAGGTATAGCAACCTTGATTAATGCAGGGCCGCAATGCCACCCACCAGAAAAGGTGAGCGGACATACCAGCAATATACAGGCACAGCAATTGTCTATTGTCTAGACTAAAGCACTCTTACTCAAATTCTGGTGACCCATCAGAGGCCCAGTAGCCTTGAGTCACCTGTGTGGCTTGTTACACTTTGTTTCTTCTTTCCACACCACTATACCTGCTGCCCTAGCCAACTAAAGTGACTTAAAGCAGGGACAAAGGCAGCCTTTCAGATTTCTCTATCTGGCAATTGCGAATCCACCCCTTTTGCATGTTCTTTTTTAGTCTGGCAAGAATGCTTCCTTAAAGTCTGACAATGCTTCTGGCTTGACTAGATGGAGGCTGGAGAAGGATTTTGTGTGTGTGTTTATGCGTGTGTGTGCATGTACGGGGGGCGGGGGGAACCCTACCATGCAAAGACAAAATTTACCATATGTTTCTCATTCCACTTTTGCTACTGAATCTGCTCACTTGCCTTTTGGCAAGTGTAGTGTAGTGGTTGTAAGGCATGTGGCCCCTGAAATGTTTTCTAGAAGGGTATTTATCCCCTGAGCTGTTAAAAAAAAAACAGTTCACAACCTCATTTAAACTGAAGAAGGGAGGAAGAAACAGGGAGCAGCGTGAATGGGAGAAAGAGAGGTTAGGGACGGTCTGGGTAAATCAGGAATTATTCTCCAGCTGAGATATAATGTGCAGTATTCACTTTTTTTCTTGGAGATGAGCATTACAAGCCTTTGCATCTCATCACCAATCCTGAGCCCAGTGAGCTTTGCTGCCAGCACTGATACTGTAATTAAAAAATGAAATCTCATCATGACCCAACGCAACAAACCTACCTCAAAAGGATTTCCGCTGCTGAAGTCAAAGGAAAGAATGAGTTTCACTTCCCGTTCAGGACGGAGGACAAGCGGATAAGCAGAATTCATGGCTATACCAGCATCGGCCAAACGGAGTTCTTCCTTGCCTGTGAGATTCTTGTCATTAAGGCTGGCTAAGGGGAGAGAGTCGGGTATTACCTTGATAATTTGTTTTCAGGAGTTGTTTCATATGCATGCATTCCCTGCCATCTGGAGAGGTGTCAGGGCAAACTAGACGCAGTGAGTGAAAGCCTCTTGCACAGATTCTGGCCAAGGCTATACAACCCCGTCCTCCCCCAATGACCTGGCCAGCCCTATTTCCATTTTGTAGTGGCTATTTATTTATTTTTGGCTGCTAAGCAGACAGGCTAATGCTTGCTGGGTCCCCCCTCCCACACACTCCATTTCTTTCTATTCTGTCCTCCAAGAAATTCAAAGGGCGTTTCTGGTTCTTCCCCTCCAAATGTATTTTTGTAAGTTGCTTTGAGACATATTTGTAGAAAGTGATGAACAAATAAATACTAACACCACCATCATTACAATAATTAATAGTGTGTGTGGTTTTCCTTACGGTATTTGTAAATATAGTTGGAGATGGTCCCCCATTTCCATTTGAAGAGGCAATAAACAGTTTTTGACAGTATTCTCAATGTATCCCATATACCTGCAAAATAAAAACTAGATTAGAAATGAACACAATGTCTGAGAATTCTATTATTATTATTATTATTATTATTATTATTACTTTTAAAACACATTGAAAGCATGTTCCCCCCCCTTCAAGGAATTTGTAATTTACCCCTTAGAGAATTTAAATTCCCATAAGCCCTTCACAAACTACAGTGCTCAGAATTCTTTTGAAAAAAGTGCTTCAAATGTGCTTTAAAGGCATAGCATATAGGCAACCTATATGGTAGCTGCTTCACACAGCATGTGGTACAGCTCATCCCTGTTAGATTATCCCAGTTGTATAGAAGGCTACCAGTTGTATAGAAGGTGGTAACTGAAGCTTAGCTACATATTAAATGCATATCAGTGTCCTAGGGATGGGTCCTTGCTTCCTTCTCCAGCCTTATTGCTTAGAACTACACACACATTGGTCATCATGTAACTTCCTCTGAACTCTGCCAGAAGGAGTAGGGATCTCAGTGTATTGTCAGCTACGTTCCTTCACTGACAGGAAATGAAAATGCAGGCATAGAGAGAGAACAGATAAGAGTAGAAGGCAGAGGGGAGGGAGATGAACCAGGGAGCAGCCGTGACTTGATCCCTGGACACAGAGAAAATGAAAGAGAGAGCCAGAGTGAAAGAATGCAACATATAGGCTCAGACAGTGAGACAGACACAAAAATACAGGGATTGCCATCTCCAAAATCTCGTAGGATCATGAGACTGGCCGAAAAGCGCGAAAAGGACAGGAAGTGAAGGTGGGGGTTTTCCTGTTGGGGGGAAAGGGGGGCGGAGCTCAGTTCCAGCAACTGTGCTATCTGAGGATGACGGAGATTAGCGGAGCTCCAACCAGGGCTTTTAAAATTGCCTAATAAATCTGAATAATTAACTCGCATGTGTGGGAGAGACCCAAGCCTTACATGTATCATGATTCATTCACCTAACGGTTCCAAAACACTACACCAATTTTGGAGGTTGTGGGATTGCTGATCCCTGTGGTAAGTGTATCATGTAGCCCAGCTTTATATGATTGGCAAAGGTGAAAAATGGGAAGGGTGACACCTAGTCCTATTATGAAGCCAATATGGTATATAATAGGTAAAGGTAAAGGGACCCCTGACCATTAGGTCCAGTCGTGACCGACTCTGGGGTTGTGGCACTCATCTCGCTTTATTGGCTGAGGGAACCGGTGTACAGCTTCCGGGTCATGTGTCCAGCATGACTAAGCCACTTCTGGCGAACCAGAGCAGCACACAGAAACGCCGTTTACCTTCCCGCCGGAGCAGTACCTATTTATCTACTTGTACTTTAACGTGCTTTCAAACTGCTAGGTTGGCAGGAGCAGGGACCGAGGAATGGGAGCTCACCCCGTTGCGGGGATTCGAACCGCCGACCTTCTGATTGGAAAGTCCTAGGCTCTGTGGTTTAACCCACAGCGCCACCCATGTCCCATGGTGTATAATACATACTGATAAATGTGTGATCATTCAATGATACATTGATTATTTTTATTGTACATGGCATTAATAATTTAATGAGCTGGTGGTTTATAAAGGCCCTTATAAATAAATATTAATAAAATTAAAAGTGAATGGATATAAAACCATCTGTATACCTTATCATCTCATTTTCATATCTGCAGATTCTCATCACAAACCTTTGTGATATACAAATAATTTGCAAAATGTTGGTTTGAAAATGATGTATAAAATTTGTGAATTACTTACTTCTCTTTGTTTCTTCATGATGCGTGAATGGAGATGTCCTAGCTGTCAAAAGCAAAGCATCATAACATTGAGACTAAGGGATAAAATGCAATAAAACAGGTGCACTATAACACATCTAAACTGTAAGATGGTTACAATATGCTTCTTGTAAGTGGAGCAGAAGTTGTTTAGGGTTCCAGTCCTTCACATTTATGTAGGATCAAACTCCACTGAACACAGTGGGGCTTATTTTTGAATGAAAATGTGCATATATAAGATTGCTCTATAAGAGAGTTCTTTGGAAGTTTTGAAATTCATAGCCACACTTACCTGCAAATTCTTGAGTAAACATGTCAGCCAGGGTCAAAAACTGTGCCACTCTTCCAGGCTTGTCTAGAGTGTTGTGTTTGTCCTTCAGTAAACTGAGGAAGTTGTAGGTGTTGCTGCCTACTTGATCTATCAAAGAATGCAAGATGAGACTGGAATAATGAAAAAGCATATCCATCTGGTCTAACCAGATTAAAATTAAGTTTCACAAAACTAAAACCTTTGTAACACTTGTATTTCACATTTTTGAGATTTCAGCCTCATTCTCCAATTATATTTGGAGGAATTCCAGTATAGGAAGGATTGCACTGCCACCTGAAGTGAAGGCACAAGACAGTCGTATGGTATCAGGGATACCAACCTGAATAAAATATTGAGGGGGCCCAAGTAAGCCCCACCCCACATAATTGATCACATGAATGGCAATTGATTTGAATGGCAATGTCCATCAAATTTGGGGAGGGTGGCCCCCTCAAATATTTCATTGAGGGGGTGAAGCCCCCTTGGTCCCTAGGAATTGGCTCCAATGTATAGTACAAATAGGTCTCAACTTTATCGATTAACCTAGAGAGGAGGGGTAGGGAGTCAGCAGCCTTCCAAATATTGTTGGAATCTTACTCCTATGATCCCTGGCCAGTCTGCCTAAGGCTTTGAGGAGCTAGGGTCCAACAACATCTGGAGGACCATAGTTTCACCACTTTGGTAATACAGTGATCAAACTTACTAAAGACTCAGCTACCTGTAGGCAACTCCTCCCTCTGTGTTCTCACATGGGCAATGCCACCCAGCAATGGGCCTGATGTGGGTTTTCTATTGGCAACTTACCATGAAGATGAACGGGGGGACTCCTCTAAATCCCCGCCTCACACGCACATACATAGATGACAGCACTTGGCAGAACAATGGTCCCAGGTCCCAAGAGCACCTGTCAACACATACCCTCTTGAGCTGGGTGGCAATGCAAGGTTGGCTGCTCAAGAACCCCCTACTTAATTGGTGCCTACAGCAAACCTTGCAGGGAAACATTTTCTTTGCCTGCACGGTTTGAAATTAAATTACACAGACCGAGGGAAATGCTTCACCTGACACCGTGGCATTGCCAAGTGATTGTCAGGTGGTTGCCCCTGCCCACCTGCCAAAGTGTCCCTTGAGTGTCGAAGGAGATCTGAATCTAGCTGGTTGGTAAGATTCAATTCTCCATCATTGATTTAAGTCATGGGTACAATTTGCTGCCATAATCATAGTCCTAATCACACACACTATACACTTTGAAGGGGTTGCTGGGAGCATGAAGACCTGTGTAGGAAAAATAGACACCAGTGATTCCTCGGCTTCCTCTTACCTTTAAGAAGTTCCATGATGTTTGTGATGTTTTCATCCTGATGTTCATGTGTCGTCCCTTCCATGGCATGAATCAGGAGCTTTATTGCATGTGAAGCAGCCTGACAATATATACAGTGACAACTGGAAGCTTCAAAAAGAGCCCAAAAATGCAAGCAACAAGAAAGGAATAAAGCTTACAAATAGGGAATCAGTGGTTGGATTATTCCAAAAGTTAGGATGCAACATATTGTAGGGAATGTGACAGTGCTGATAAAAATGGGCAGGGCAGGCCAGGCTTCAAAATACAGAGAGAATAACATGCTAAATGAGATATGCCTGATTTATTGGATCATCCCTGAAATCCCCCCCACACATGCTGGTTCTAGTCAAGAAGCCCCAGCTCCTAGATGTCCCATCCTTATGTCACTGCTGGAATAAATGTATTGCCTATAAGATAGGTGAGCCATGACATCACTGACAGATGTCTACCTTGGGAAGGAAACGTAGCAATAAAAAACACCTCAATTCCAAACGTTCTGCAAATGCACCTTAAATCCATTTCTTTCTGCAACCTTTTCTAACTACCCTCCTCTAAACCTTTGATAGCTATGGGAAATGCAGAACTTGTCAGGGTTTCTATAGTATTGGATAACCCTTGCTGAAACACAGCCATAAGTCAAATGCAAACCTGCTTTTGCATAATACTTCAGGAGACAGCAATACTTATCTTCCAGCCCAACAAATCTTTCCTGATAACAGAATGTTTCCTAACTTAAATAGTGGCTAAGGCTGCTTCCGCACAGGCTGACCTTCCTACCTTTGACCCTTTTTTCTGAAACTACTTTCCATTTTGTGTAGAGCAAACATGTGCATATAGGTTTGCAAAGTTCCTGAATAAAGAAGGCATCAACAGATGTATCCTTTTGAGATGGACTGATGGCAAAAAAATTCAAGCAATGTCAAGGACTTACCTGAAGCTTGTTCTCCCAGGTGTTTGATATAATCTGAAAATGTGAGAAGTACATTATATTTCCATAGCTATAGGAATATTCTATTAGATGGGGAATCTGTGTTCCTCCAGATGTTAATTGGGCTGCATTTTCCATTATCCATAATCAGTGGCTATGCTAGCTGGGGCCCACAGGATTCCCATCCCTGTGGCAGAGAGAAGAATTGTGGTCAGGGTGAAGTGGCCCAGAGGAGCAGGGGACCATGGAACCAACCACTCCCCTCAAAAAAAATGTTGCTGTGTACTAGTACAAGTTGTCAAGTGTTGGCAAATTAAGTGAGGGCAGTCTGGCCACAGTAGCATGTTAGCGTTGTAAGGACATAGAAGGCCAGAGGATTTTCTTCAGAGCTCCACATAAGCTACGCAACTACTTCCAAGTGTGCACACATGGGCTGTGCCTTTGGAATCCATACCAGGAAGGAACTTTCCCTAGCTGGGTCCAATAGGCTAAACATACAAAACCTTCTATTTCCTTGACGTCTTCTTTGCGATCTGCAAATGAACTTCCCCATAAGCCTGAAAGAGAAGGAAGGAAATGGAAATGACATTTTCTAGGAAATTTACTGGATAGCACTATGTTTAGTGGCATACATTAATCCTAATTGTATGCCACTAAACATAGCAGAGGGAACATGCTCGGTTCAGTGCGGGAAGGTGGGGAATCACTGAGCATGTAAACTAGTCTGATGTTTGGATACTGCATGAATCTGTCGTGTTGCTGCCTCTTCCCCCTGTCAAGTCAGCAGTACCTCTCAAGTAAGAAATGCTTTTTTCATTCTTCAGTATTCTCAGCACACCATTCTCAAATGAGCTGCCCAACAGCCTCATGTCAACAAATGCACCAGGGTGAAAGAATCCAGCATCATGGGGTGTGAATTCAAACCAGATACCTATAAAAAAAAAAATTAAAATCAGTGTCAGAAAGCGTGGGAAACAATTGCTTACACACATAGACTTCTTTTGCTGTATCAGCTTCTGTATTTGTCATGTTTCTTTTTGACGTCTCACAAACTATTGTTTATAGAAATTTCTATTTAGTTAATTGGCTGGCTATGTTCTGTCTCCATTCTGTCTTAAGCATATGCGGCGCCGGGGTGCTAAGATCCACCCAGTGCCCCCCCTCCCAGCTTGCCCAGTCCCAGGCGTGCAGGAGGGTAGAGCCAGCCGGCCGCCTCAGTGTCTCACTGGCTCGGTCACCCCCAAACCCGTGGCGCAGAGCTGCCCGCAGCAGAAGAGCCTGCCGTGGTACCCCGACCAATGGGCGGGCTTTTCCCAGACTCAACTCTTGGGCCCTGGACTCTTGGCCTGGAGCTTCTGAGAGCCTGGCGCCCGGGTGCCCCACACCCCTAGCGCCTATGGGTAAGACGGCCCTGCTTGGAGGCATCTGTTCAGCCTCTGTGAGAACAGGATGCTGTTCCAGGTAGTCCTTTGGTCTGTTGCAGAAGGACTCATCTAATGTTCTTATGTTAGTTCAGCCCACTGTCTGTCAATTGCATTGATCCAATGGCAGTCTCCAATAACAGTTGCACATGCTCCTTGGATAAGTTTAACACGCATAGAGATTATTGTTGGAAGAGTATAACAGTTGGGTTGTAGGCTATGTTAATCAGGCTCCAAGGAGACCCAATGGACAGTGATTCCAAGCACAGAGAAGACCCACGAACATATGGATAAGATCCAAGCCCTTTTAAGTTGTATTGATTTCAAAGGCATCACAAGAAATGGCCATATATAGTTGCTGATTTGTTTTGTTTCCTACCTGGATGGGTTTTACTGGTGTCATCTAATTTGTTTGAATCCACCGCTGCATAGATGGGGTAAGGAACTTCCCCATTAAAAGAGACCATCCTTTCCTTGGACAAATGACCATAATCTAGCTGTAGAGAAAGGGACTCATTAGTGAGGGAGAATATCGTCCCAATACAAATAACAGCTTCAGAGAAGGGATTTTTCCCAGTTCCAAGCAAGGAAGGCAAGTGTTAAGTTCCTCCTCTGTACCTGCTGCGATTTTGGTAAGTTATAAGCCCTGCCAGCTGATGCTATTTGCATTTAACAATAAACAAATAACATCTTGAAAGCAAATACATTTTTTATCTCATGTGTAGCTTGACATACTCAGTTGGTGAGAGCTAGCAGGATTATAGCCTGAGATAAGTTGCTATTCCTACTGAGTATGTCACATTTAGAACAGCAAAACTGATCACTTGGGTACTTCTGCTGTGTACCAAGATGAATCAAAAGGCTCTGGACTACCGTAGTTTTTATACTGTATTTTATGCTGCTTCTATGTTGTATTACAATTAAGTGTTTTAAATTTGTTGTTAGCCGCCCTGAGCCCGTTTTTTTGAACCGGTAAGGGTGGGGTATAAATAAAAAAATGTTATTATTATTACAGTACAATTATACGTTGCTTGCCATTTTTGGTGGAATGATGGAAAATCTCTACAAGGCTTCCTGTAGGCAGTGCCTGGCTGACAAGCTGCACTATAAACTGCATCTGGATCTTCCTGCAGCCTCTAAATCAGTTTACTATGTGATCTGGAAGTGGTTGTGTTGCAATTGTGGTTTCTTGGTGGGGAAGAAGGAACATGGGATGTACAAAAAGAGTTGGATTGTGGCATAGGTGTGTATGTTTTTTAAAAAGCATATACAATGCTTTTCAAGTCTTCCCCCCCCCCCCCGGGGGGGAAACAATTCTGTGCAACCACAAAGTATCTGTGGAAAGGAGGTAGTATACTTGCCTCATGCAACATTGCATAGAGAACGACACTGCCCCAGAAATCGGTTAAGGAGTATGTCTTCTCTTTACTTGGTTCTACAAGGGCATCCAGGGATTTGCTGGGATCCCATGATTGATTTACAAGATTGTCACACATCTTTGCTTCCAAAATAGGAAGCTTTCCCAGCCATTCCTCATGTTCATAGATGAATGACATACACCTTGGAGAAAAGGCAAAGCATCGTGAACAAAGCTTTGAAGAAAGACTTTTCCTGGAGGAACATTGCCAATCACTGTAGATAATGCTGAGATGGATACAGCAAAGGCCTGAATCAATATAATACAATTTAGCATGTTCCTGCGTTGGACAGAGCTTTCTTTATCAAATCCTTTAGCCATTAGAGACAACCTAGGTTCCTACTTCTTCAAATGGTTATACCAGTCATCACTGAATATAGTTTATGTCCACTTACCAGGTAGAACCTGATACTCCACAGAGATACATCACAGCACCCAACAAATCCTCTTTCTGAAGTTCTCCCAGAACCCCTTGAAGTGCAATCATGGCCCGCAACCCTCCACCAGATCCTAACAGGGCAACATTAGGAACAGAACTCTAGGGAAACGGGGAAAGACAAATAACTGTCATATTTTGAAATATGTAATCACAAATACTTTTTACAATGTAACACCAAGCGGTGAAGCTAGAAACAGATGGTGCATGGTAGCAGAAGACATGGTACTATATTGATGCTTTCCTAACCTGCTGTTTAACAGGAGGTAGAGTGGGAAGGGCAAGCTGGCTGCAAGATCCACCCCTCTCTAGCCACCTGTAAGCAAAAGCAATTTGATCAACAGGGAGTCAGGAGACTGCTGCCATCCCAACCTGCTGTCTGCTACTGGTGAAGTTAAGTTCTGCAGGGAACAGTATATTCTCTTCCTTCATGAAATATTGATTGATTTTGTAGCTGTTGGAAGAACAATGGGAAATCAATTGCTGTTAGTTATTGCAATTTAAGCTTCCATAACTCAACTTTACTGTATCCCTAATTTCCTCTCCAAATTCTGCTTCCCACCATCTTCTCTCCCAGCTTCCCATGTTTTAGCCACCCACCCACTCACTTTGCCTTTTGTCTATTCATTTTTTTAAGCACCTTTGCCTTGGTCATTTGCCTGCTTTGTCCATTTAGAGCACCTGAGCAGCTCAGCCAATGACAGGCTGCCCCCTTTCCCAAAAATATCAGGGCTTTATGTACATCACTGCCAGAGATTGTGTCGCTATTACCCAAAGTGCGAGCACCGCCGCATCCCTTAAGCATATTGCAATATAGACCATGAAACTTTACCATGGCGGTGTTGACCCCAAGCTTCAGAAAAGAATTGTGCACTTTGATTTTTCTTCTGCCAACAGCTGTTTTTTCTTCATCAGATACATCTCTGGAAATCCGGATCACATCACTAGTTTAAGAATAAAAGTCAACCATTTCAAAGTTGCTCATTCAAGTGGGAGTCTCTACCCCAGTCATCTGTGGAGCACATACAGACAACCCACCATTTTGTGCTTCAAGTTTCATAGAAACATAAAGTCCACTCACCCCTTCCAGGTGACATGAAGATTGTGGCCCCGTGCCAACCCTGCCTCCATCCTCATTTCCACAGCTTGGTCTCTGGCTGCAGCGGCTGTCGGGAGGTGCTACAGCCTCTCCCCCCAGCCGCAAAATTCAAATTTGCTTGTCTGCAATTTTGGACCAATCATGGGTTGGCTTGAGAGTGTGGCCATAGAGGGTTACACTCATGGAGTCTTCACTCAGGTCCACTCCGCAGGGATAAAAACCTTTGCCCAGGACTGCAGTCGGCATCAAAGTCGGAGAAATAGTCACACTACCAGTGAATTTGTTGGTCCTGCCCAGCTTCTAGCCCCCTACAGCACCACTGAGTAACCATGTGGGGGAGAAAGTCACTGCTTTGGTGCTGATATCAGGGTGTGTGTGTTTTTTGGGGGGGAAGCATGGGTGGGATAGCACAGTGCGAGTGATGTCACCACCACCCAAATGAGGGTAGAGTAGGGTAGATGGGAGCTGAACTTGGCTCACATTCAAAAGTGGCACCACCATCTGCTTCTGAAAGCATTTGAGGACCTGAATGGTGGTATGGCTAGGTCAGCCTGGGGAGCGACCTCTATGACCTTTTGGACAGTGCACAGCCTGGCTGGCTGCTGACAGGCATGCACCCCCATCCTTCATGATTACTTCTGAGTGGGCTTACCTGGCACGATCTCCACTACTACCAGATAAGCCAGCAAGTGTGTGAGGGCAAGATTGCAGGTGCATCAGCACTGCTGTTGCAGGGGTGGTGGTAACTGGTAGCAAGTACTGAGAAGGCTGCTGAACATTGGTGGGGAAGCTGAGAGCAATCTTCCCAGGGGCCCTGCAAAATCTGGAGCTGGGCCTGTTTAAAAGCACACCCCTTGGACACCAGCAAGAGCATGTTTCAAGCTACTTTCTGAGACAGCGGTATATTTTTCATGTCCCCCAGTATTTACAAGAGTGTCAGGCAAAGTTAGTGGACCCTTCTGCTACATCTCATGCTAGAGAACAGTTCTGAAGTTAGGAAACACTTCTGCAATCCTACAGGGTTTCCCCTTTGTTTTTCACAAAGGCAGCCCTCAGTTTCTTCACACAACCATCAGTTTTGCAAGAACAGTTCTGGTAATCGTTAGTTAGCAAACAACATCTGGATAAATATTACCTTTGGTTTGACCCAGGCATACATAACCTGTGACCTTTCGAGCTGAGTGAAGTTCAATAGACATGCTTGACAGTTCAGAAAGGCTATATTGGCTGCCTGTGTGGGGCTGCAGAAAGGGGATTTAAGCACTCAGAAGTCCACATTACTTGAGGAAGCACCATAGCTCAGTAACAGAGCATCTGCATCTCCTGCATATGTAGCATCTCCTGAAAGGGCTGGGAAAGAGAACCCTCTCTAAAAAGTCTGGAGAATCACAAGTTGGTCAGTGCAGATTAAATGTGGAGGCTCCTCAGCTGTCAAAATCTCGGGCGGGGGGGCTTGCAAATTATCTCCTAATGCATTTTTTGTTTTACCAAGCAACAATTTTAATAAACCAATTTCAATATCAAATTAATATTATTTTGATCTGTTGTCATGGGGGCCCCTAAATGCTCTGCCCATCTGGCACTGCACTAAGCTAGATGGACAAATGGTTTGACTCAATAGGAGGCAACTTGCTATGTTCCTATCACTGACTGGTGAGCAGTGTTTTGCTTGATGGGACCCACATTGTATTAGCCATGCACCATCCACTGTTACACAGTTTCCCGCTTCAAACGTTAGTGCATGCATAATGAAAGCAGGAGGCTCCAACCCAAATATATGCAGGTCCACTGCAGAGCCAGAAAAAAATCCCCACATACACAAACCATGCATACAGCTGAATGCGCAGAGGGAGTACTCTTTGACCGATGACATGCATGAGTAGAGCCAGTTCAGAGGAGCATTCATGCCATCTGATCGTGCCCCTGACATCCTGTGGGCTCCCCAGTATCAGCAGCCATCCTCAGTGGGATCACTAGGAGTGGTGGCAGCCAAGCAGACGTGCTACAAGGGAGGGAGGCTATGATTCACCCAGCTTTCTCTGCTTCCCAAGCAGACCTTTTCTTGCAGCTCTTCACTGCAAAGTAAACTGCAACTGGTGGGCCCAAACCAGACAATATGTCAACACTGGCTGGCCTTCAGCACCTGCAATGAATTTGAACTGTTTTGCCTTACCTTTGTTTAAGAGACAAGCTTTCTCCATTAATAGCCTCATTTTCCTTTAATAAAGGAAGAAACAGAAAGAAAATGTGAGTCTATAATGTTTCAAAATCGGGGTGTGGGACATCAGGTCCTGAGGCCTCAATGTGGCTCCCCAGGCCTCTCCCTTGACCCCAAGCTACACCCCACTCCTTAGCCACTCTTGGTCTTCAGACGCACCCCTCACTGCCCTCCTTCAGGTGGTTATTGCCTTGCTGGATTGTGTCATTAACTCTGATAAGGCCTCTTGCTTGCCTGGAGGACAGAGAGGGGTTGTGTGCAGAAACGAGCCACTGTACAAAAGCACAAATTGAAATGTGTTGATATTTTGTCTCTGGCCCTACCTACCACTGTCATGTGGCCCCCAGAAAGTTACTTCAAAAGGAATGTGGCTTCAGGTCCCGTCCCCCCCAATATACTTAGTTTCACCAATCCTTCTTGTGCATTGACAGTGCCATGTTGATTTCTTCAGGATTGACATCCTGCTAATGAATTTGCTGTTGTAATATAGGATTGGTTGTTGCTTTTCTCTCTCCTTTCTTGGTCCGCTACCCAGGTTTGGCTCACTTGCTCTGTATTTCATTGTTTCACATAAAATATGATTTCATGTTTTTTAAGGTCTCTAACAATTCAACCGATTTGGAAAACATGAGGGAGAGGAGAATGTTTCATAATGGATAGATTTCTTACCATTTGTCTTCCTGCTTTGTTTACCGGGTAACCCACAGATTTCAATGTTTTCTGTGACAAAGAAACAATTTCACAAAGTCTTCAGCATTTGTCTTACAAGATGTTTTCAGATGACCAATTTATTGAACATTCATACTCATTTGTTTGCATGGAAATTAGACCATGGATTTCCACTGGCTTGTTTCCTCATTAATTTAGAGGAGTCTACACAACATCTAGGGATGCAGGTGGCGCTGTGAGTTAAACCACAGAGCCTAGGACTTGCCGATCAGAAGGTTGGCGGTTCGAATCCCCGCGACGGGGTGAGCTCCCGTTGCTCGGTCCCTGTTCCTGCCAACCTAGCAGTTCGAAAGCACGTGAAAGTGCAAGTAGATAAATAGGTATCGCTCCGGCGGGAAGGTAAACGGTGTTTTCGTGAGCTGCTCTGGTTCGCCAGAAGTGGCTTAGTCATGCTGGCCACATGACCCGGAAGTTGTACACCAGCTCCCTCGGCCAATAAAGCGAGATGAGCGCTGCAACCCCAGAGTCGGTCATGACTGGACCTCATGGTCAGGGGTCCCTTTACCTTTACCTTTACACAACATCTTCCTCCTCCCATTGTTGTCCCATACCTTTCCCCCTTTAACTGCAGACATTTTTGCTCCATGGAAACTTCCAAAATGACTAGGTAATGCACGCTGATCATTAGGACAGGGGCGGTGGTGGTGGTTTTGCCCTGATTTTCTTTTGGCAGGTCTTACTTCCATTTATTTTACCTTAGTCAGTCATCATGTAAATTTCGAGCAAGGGGCTGCTGCTGAAGGCTTTTGCTCTGATCTTCTGATTTACGCTAAACTAATCAAGAGTTGAAATGACTATTGCACACAAATTACTGTTTATATAAAAGGAAAATGGAAGATAGAGAAGGGGATTCAAGTCAGCTGCTTTTTACCCATTGCCAAAGCTTGGAAAAGTGAAAAGGGAGGTAAATGTCCTTCTGGGCTATGCAACCACTAAAGAACTGTTAATTTAAAGCTTCTCTCCTCCTCCCGCCTAAAAAAAAAGTGAACTAATTTGTGCACAATTGGGATTGAGTTAAGTATGTGAATGAGTCCTTCTTTCATATATTAGCAAGCTGAAAAATTGCTGCAAGAAAACATGGGGACTAGAAGCAGGAGGATGGGTGTATGGGTTACCTGGTAGTTGGAGATAAAAATATGATGGAAATAAATGTCTCTTGCTGGTGATCCAACTTCCACTTCTACTCAAATGGCTGAAAAGCAGCTGGTCACAAGAAGTGGGAGGGAGGGGAAAGGACATGAGGCTGGAAATGGGGAAGGGTATGGATCTGGAAAAAGGAGCAGCAGTAGTCACCCACCCATATCACCCCAGCCCTAAAACCTTTGGGATGATTGTGTAGAAATAAAATGATGTTGCAGCTGCTACCAAAGCAACCATATTTCTCAGCCTCAGTATTTTATTAGGAGAATCTTGCAAAAATGTACACTTTAGTCAAAACAGCAGACAAAAATGTGCTTATTAGAATAAATTCACGCTTAAATGCTGAAGCATTTTCATGAGGTTTTTTTTAAAAAAATCATCATAATTTATTGTGGAAACGTGGTGAACTAAATTTAACGTTGGAAAAACTGGAAACTGAAAGAACTTAATTTGACAAAGAGCGTGAGAAAAGACCTCTTGTATCAAGTCAATCCTTCTTCCCACAGTTGCCATCCAGGTATGTCTTGGAAGCTCACAAGCAAAGCGTGAAGGCAATAGCCCTCTCCCCCACTGTTGCTCACCCATAATCTGTAAAAACTCATTGGGTGATGACCATGGGATTAGTTCTCTGCATTAACAACCTTACAGATTGGTGGTGGGATATAACAACAAACACACAAGCATGCAGGAGGAATTTGTGTGTGAGTCTAACAGCACACTTGCCAGCTCTGTGGTGGTGGCTGCTCTCTTATTATAAGAGAATAATAATAATAATAATAAAAACCCTCCCATTGCATATCATTGTGTATAATCCTCTATTTGCTTGAATCTATTCAGGAGGAAAGACAGCAATCAGAAAGAGCCTTACTTACATTTCTGTCCTTTGGAGACTGAGAGTTGGATGGACCACGATGTTCAACTGGGGTTCAGTGCAAAGATTCTCCACTCGACCTGGATAGGTGTTGTGGAACAAGGAAGATATGTGATTGCACAGAGGACCTGAGTCATTTCATGTCTCCAGTGGCAGTAGTTTCTTTACATATAAGGTAAGAAGTTTTGCAATAGTTTCTGAAGAGTGACGAGCTATGTGCGTATTCATGCATCACTTCCATCAGCACTTATTTACAAGGGGCAGCCCCCTTTTTTTCCTGGTACCTGTCTTTTCGGGTAACTGCAGTTTCTTATTTGTCCTTTTTTATCTCTGGGAATTAGTTGGGGATTATAGAGTTTGACCTTGAAGTTATATCTTTAAGGTGTGTGTATATCAGGGTTGCATCTTGTTCTTTGTGCAGTGCATCTATACATATAAACTAGCAGTCACCATTTCTCCCCAGAAGCCCATCAGAATGATGCTACAGCATGCTATTCCAGTGTTGATGTCATGTTATCCCAATGGCGGGGGGGGGGAGTATGACAGCCGCAAATGGGCAACTGCCAGGAGAAAACACCACCGCTACCAACAGTAAGCTCCCCATCTTTTAAAAAAATATTACTCTCCACTCTCTTGGCTCCCTCAGCCTAAAAGTGGAGATGAATGACCACACCCCATAGTTGAATTTGACTGGACTTAACCGTCCAGGGGTCCTTTACATTTTTACCTTTACTCTCCCTCCAATCAATTAAAGGTACTCAGTGTTTGCAACCTGAGAACTGCATTGTAAATTAGGTAGAGGACTTGTTTCAACACTTTTACAGTATACATGTGCATTATCTAAAAGAAATAAATCATTTTTCTTTCAAACAATTGATTTTCTTTCATTCAGATTGAAAAAGTTAACTGAAGTGTTAATAAACAAAAACTCATATGGATAATGAGTTAACGATAAAACTATGTACAACTTTATTCGAAAAGTAAATCACAGCTATTTCAATAGGACTTACTTCCTAGTAAGTATACACAGTGTTGTGAATGGGGGGGGAGGTGGGGAGGCTATATGCCTGAGTACCCTCAAATTCCTGGACTCAACAAAGATTCAATTGCTGGAATTGGTAATGGCCCCTAAGTATGGTTTGTTAAGGTAACAAAGGAAGTGACTCTGTGCCATAGGCCAAATGGGTATACCCTCTCCCTCGATTCTCTGGTAGTTAGAAAGACAAAACGCCAGAGTTGAGGTGTGAGAGCTAGAAGCTAGAAATTAGAAGCAGCCTGGGCAGCTGAGAGATGGAGCCATGTCTGATTTCTGCTGGAATCCTAAACTGTGGTTATGGGAAAAGCAAGAACTTCTTGGGGTGCTAATGCTGGCAGCCCCTCCATCATAGGCTCAGGTTGTATATATGTATATATCATATATCATATCATATACCGTATATCATAAAAACACCACAGTCTTCACTGTTCCTCATTACAAAAGAAAGCACTGATCCTGGGTAAGTTCCTGCAACCCCTGGAATCTCATACCGCTCAGAGATAGGGGTAGTGTGCAACAATAGGATTGTAACACGGTTGCTGTAATCAGATGGCTATTTTTCCATCTATATCATATTGAGGACACATTGGAGGGTGCATCTAACTGAACAACAGTGGATAAAGGTAAGTGGGTTTCCTTATCCGAAAGCATGGCAAGGGAAAGTGGGAAGGATTCCAGGAGAGGGGATGTCAAATGAAGACCACCTCAGGGCCTGTTCCACCTGCCCCCACCCCTGTTCTACCCTGGATTCTGGGTAGATTCCATGGGAGATTCTGGATTCCATGGGAGAATGAAAGGCCTGGTAGGAGGGGGTAGTATCTGGAGAAAGCCCTAGCTTTCTCATATTCTATTTCTGTAGGAAGTATCCTGATAACTTTTAAATGTGTTAATATTGTTTACTGCTTGGTTTGTTTTAAAAATGCAGTTTATGTTAGTTTGTTCACTGGCTTGGAAGTATCTGTATCCTGAACAGCAGGTCATATATTAAATTGCAACAAAGTAATAATGAACAATATAATATTATATTTGTAAGGGGGCCAAGCAAAGTGAATGGGAAGGAAGCAATCTGCAATTATGCCAAAGGCAAGTGTAGTATGGATCTTGATGGGGGGAAATGGAATTGGAGGGGAGTGAATAAGAAAGCAAATATTGTTTATTGTGAAAAAATTCTACCTGGCATTTTATCTATAATAATCAGGAGGCAATATCTGACACATCAGGCAAAGAAGCAACAACATACAAGTTCAGTAATAAACCATCACATTTTTATAGGCACACAATCTGAGCACCTTCCATCCTTCCCACTGAAAACTTTGCTGTGAAAGGTACAGTATTAGAGGGGCTCAGGATTTAGTGTCTGGGGGCAATAAGCCATGAAAGAGTGGTGCTTTCCTGCTACAATCTTGACTTCAAGAGTGAGTGTATGTATGTATGTATGTATGTACATGCAGAATTGCAACTCCTTTACTTCTGGTGTGACAGTTCACATGTTGGTTACTTCATATGTAGTATCCTGCACTAACCACAACAGTGGTGTACTTGACGGTGTATAGGATGTGGTTCATTGCATTACTGTCAGTGACGCCATAGCCTGACCACTTCCACATTGTTGAAACAATCAACAATAACATCCGTACACTTGACTGCTTCTGTTGAAATTCATTGCTAGTGTGCAGTAAATTGAATTGAACCTACAATTATGCAAACAACAGTACCATTGTTCGGGCTTTCTGGTGTCCAGTGGTAGCCAGGTAAGTGATTTATTTGCCTGTGTCATCTCCAAAAGTATGAAAAGTTACTGTAGCCTAACTCACGTAATGCACCAGGTTAGAAACTTTTCTTACTTTTAGAGATGATGGAGGCACAGGCAAATAAACTACTTATCTGTCTACCATA